TATGACTGTTGCAACAGTCATAAACACCCGTCAGTTGCAAAGCACCTGGATTTCCATTATGTGACCCCAGGGACCCTACCACTGCCATTAAGTGCATTAAGGACAGGTCGTAAAGGTACTTTTCCAGCACTGTTGTAATTTTGAGCAATCGCTAAACAGGGAAGTTGTTAATGGAAGTCTGCCTACACTGACTTTAAAATGCAAATTGCTGACATTCTTTATGACATGGGTGTCAAACTCGTGGCGTCACGTTGCAGTCATGTGACTTTTGTGACTTTTTTCCCTTTGTGGAGTGGGGGTGGACGTGGCCTGCGTGTGACACCTCCAGCCCGTGGGCCGCCAGTTGGACACCCCTGCTTTGTGAGATGAAATTTTAAATTATTGCACCAAGATTCCCCAACATAGTGTCTTTCATCATAGCAATAGCAGTTAGACTTATATACCGCTTCATAGGGCTTTTAGCCCTCTCTAAGCAGTTTACAAAGTCAGCATATTGCCCCCACAGTCTGGGTCCTCATTTCACCCAGACGGGGTGAAGGATGGAAGGCTGAGTCAACCTTGAGCCGGTGAGATCATCCCTACATTTCATCATCATCCCTTGGGATGTTAGCTAGGGCAGTAGTGGAAGTTAAGAGTCCAATGGTCCTGGAAAGATTGAGCTACTCTATGTCTGTCTGTCTATATCTGCATTGTTTTGCCCTCTGCCACCCCATAATATATTATGGGGACATGAAAAAGGCTGGTAAAGTTGCACCTTCCTTTTCCTGTCTTTCATGACCTGCTCAGCCCTGAAGATTAAAGGGAAGGACAGAGTTAATAGACCTCCATAGGGACAATTAGGTGAATCTCCGGCAGGAACAGCTGAGGTAAATTAGAAGGAAGCTCTTATCACTCTTGGGTAGCTCCTTCAGTTAAGAGTGAAAAATCAAGAAATTTGCCCTCTAATTCTTTTGTTCATAGAAGTGGCACGAGAACATTTCATCTTCCCATGCAGCCTCTTTTCGGTGTTCCAGGATCCAGACTGCTTTTAAATTCTCTTTCAGCTGCAATTAGGTAGTCTGAGTCAATACAGAGATAGGCTTTCTCTGGAGCGTCGGTATTAAAAGCTGAGGGGATTTTTTTTTTTTAGGGGCAGATATAGCAGTTTATTTGATTTTTGTTGTTGTTCTGAAGCTATGGCCTGAAGCACAAATCCTAATTTCTACTTTAAATTAAGAATGTTCAAAGTGAAATCCTTGTTGTCATTAGATGTACCTGTGGTTAAATGAGAATGGAAAGTCCAGTGGCTAGATTGTAAATACCTGCAGAAAAATTAACATGATGAATTACTAATAGTATTACTGAAGCTGCAAATGGCTGGCTTAGCACAATGACTAAGCAATAAATCAAGGGTTAAAGACCATAATGTTTGTATAAGAAAACAAACCACATTGTGATTTAAAATAGAGCAATATACATTATTTTGTTTGTTTGTTTGTTTGTTTATTAGTTTTGTANTCTGGGAGTTGAAGTCCACAAGTCTTAAAAGTTCCCAAGCTTGGACACCCCTGCCGTAGTGAGAAACGGACGTTGGGCATAATTGTTTGGCTCAAAATTACGCCTGGTGGTTTCGGAAGACGTGCATCCGAGTATCTGGGCGCCGGCGCCTTTAAATTAAAAAGAAAAGAAAAAAAGAAAAAGAATTCCAAACCTAGGTTGACACCCGAGAGCCCGTGTACTCTGAATCACCTTTGGAGTTTCCTGCCATTGCGTCGGGATTGGGGAAAAAGGAATGGGAATTTCCGCGTCGATCCTTAGGAACGAAGGAAGCGGAGAGGCCTTGGGAAGAACGATCCCTTTGATGCCCCTCCTTTTTCTCTCTCTTTTTTTCTTTTGTTACCTAAAAAAAAAAATCCCGGGGTTTTTTGCAAAACTGGGTTTTCCCCTCCCACGTCGCTTGCTTGTACTCGGCCGGTAGCCAAGTTGTGGAACTTGATGTACTAGCGGGGAGAGGGAGGAGCCTTCACTAGAGGCGCCGGGCGGGGTGATGGGTGAAGTGCGCTGGAAAGTCCCTGGCGCTTTGCCCGGAAACACTCAGCTTCTCCACGGAAAATACCAGGCTGCAGCAATGCGCGGCCCTGAAAACCCCAGGCTTTCGAAATCGCCTTCTTTCCCCTATGACTCCAGTAAGCCCGTTGCCCACGTGATGAAGAGAACGAACTTATCCTGGAATTTTTTTTTTGGCTCATCATCGGGTTTTTCCCATTGTTTTCCTATTGCAGGATTCTCCATCTGGCTATTATTCACGAAAAAAAATCCTTAAGTTTGGAAATCGTTCACCAAGCAGGACGGGATGCTTCTTTCTTGAATTTCCAGAACAATCTCAACCAGGTACCTTTGCGTTTTCATTGTCGCTTGACCTGCGAAAGGGTCAGACTGGTGGGCTATGGACAGCATGGGGACAGTTTCAAATAAACTTGTAAAACAATAGATGAAAGAAAGGGTACAGTAAGAGAAAATCACAAAACAATATAAATATCAAGTATCATAAGAGGAAATATTTTTTCTTAAACTTGTTTGCCCATTGCTGGCAATAATTTATGTTAAGAATATTTAAGGATCCTTGGATTTCACTAGCCTGACTTAGAAGTGGCTTTCCATGGTGGTAGAAATGGTTATTGGCCTGAGGGCTCCAGCTTTGCTTGCACACTAGTGTCATATTTTCACAAACATTTGGAAAGAAAGGCTTTCAAAAGTAAGGAAGTAGAACACCAATGGAGTTTATACATCTGATGTGGCTTAGCATGTTGAGTGATCCCAGCCAATACTCAAAATATTGGAGAATGCATTCCATGAAAAAGAAGAAGCATTGATAAATATTTTAGGTTCCTTTTCTCAGCTGTGCAAGCTCACTGGAAGACTTTAGCCAATCACTGCTTTCTAACTTATTTTACAAAATTTTCTGACAAAAAGTGCAGGAGTAATATGCACAGTACCTTCACTTCTTGGAGAAAATGCAATCTGTAAGTCTAATGAATAAAATAAAGTTGCAATTTTTTAAAAGACTTATTTAACACTGCTGATCCTGAACATGCATGCATAATACAAAGCAGAGGGAGTCAGAGTAGGATTCATTAACTGAAAAAAATGAAGGATTGTATGGCAATATGTATAGCAAAGATATTGTGTTGTTTTTCTAGCAGATTGCCTTATTTTTGTCACTTATCCTTTTGTAGACTCCACTTCATTTGGCGGCAATCACAGATCAGCCTGAAATTGCTGAGTCTCTTCTGAAAGCAGGCTGTGATGCAGAAATCAGAGATTTCCGAGGAAACACACCGCTGCACATTGCTTGTAAACAAGGGTCGCTCAGAGGAGTTAATGTTCTTATACAGTATTGCCAGAAGCCCCAACTCCATTCTCTTCTACAAGCAGCAAACTACAGCGGTAAGTGCAAACATTGGCTGAATGGCTCACTTCGACATTGCTGACCTTGGCATCATACTGTTGCCTTTTGATTTGCAGTATTGACCTGCATTCTCTTTGAAAGTTATTGTAACAAGTATCTGTAAAGTAAGAAATTCATCGTTTCCCTTTCCCCAGTACAGTGGCATTCCCCAAAATGAGTTCCCCTTCAGATTGTTGAAATCACAGTCTGCTAGTTGAAAATTCTGAGAATTCCTCTTTGGGATAGGTTTATGTAAAGCATTAGATGCACAAATGAAGTTTTCTTTTTTGGAATAATAGTATTCAAAGAATAATTGATAATTAAGCCAACCTACCAAACTACTTCATTTAGACAACCTGTGCTAAATAATGAATAGATTCTAATATGTATGATTTTCAAAATTATAGCTAACACCTTGGAGCAATTCTTTATGACAGGAAATAATGTTTTTCTCTCTCCTGTGCTTATTTAACAGGCCACACGTGTCTCCACCTGGCTTCTATTCAAGGATACTTGGCCATTGTAGAACGTCTTCTGTCCTTGGGAGCAGATGTCAATGCTCAGGTAGGTTTCTGTCTGGGGGGAAAAAAAGCAGACCATTTCATTATTTTGAAAGTAATTCTGGTGCCTTTTTCATTGCTAACTAAATGTTCCCTTTTGTTTTTCACTAAACAGGAGCCATGCAATGGTAGGACTGCCTTGCATTTGGCCGTAGATTTGCAGAATGAAGGACTGGTTTCCCTTTTGTTGAAGCATGGAGCAGATGTGAACAAAGTAACCTACCAGGGCTATTCTCCATACCAGCTCACATGGGGAAGAAATAACTCCTTCATACAGGAACAGTTGAGACAATTTACCACACTGGATTTGCAGATGCTATCAGAGAGTGAAGATGAAGAAAGCTGTGAATCAGAATTGGAATATACGGAAGATGAAGTAAGTTGTGTGCAGCTAGAATTCCCCAATAATTTTCACATATTTTTCTATGAGGCAAGAAGTATGAAAATGCATTGNGCCAGCCGACATTGGCTGCCAGATGGAACCCGGAGAAGGCCAAGCCTGTGCAATCGAATTGGTCTTTGGGAGGTAATTGGCAGGAAGTACCCAGGTCCGATGCCATGCAGGGCTTTACTAGCTCATTCCGGCCCATTCCAGAGGGCTGGAGCAGCAACAACTAGCACCTTGAAGCGTGTCCGGAGACCAATGGGCAGCCAGTGCAGCTCGCGGAGGATAGGTATAACCTGGGTGTACCTGGGTGCACCCACAATCTCTCGCGCGGCTTCATTCTGGACTAGCTGGAGTCTTCGAACACTTTTCAAGGGCTGCCCCATGTAGAGCGCGTTACAGTAATCCAGTCTTGAGGTGACGAGGGCGTGAGTGACTATTTTATATTTTATTCAGGGATGGGCTGTTGGGGGTTCACGGGAGTTTGGGAGAATCTCTAGCTAAGATTCTGTGTAGTTTGGAGAACCCCCAAATCCTACTCCTGGCTGGCCCCACCCACCTCTCCCCTCCCAGGAGTTCTCACACTGCCCGTTTTGGATACAGGTCAGTGCAGTGCACAAACAGATGCTCAGGGAGGGCAAAAAACTGGCCTACCAGAAGTTCAGGAAGGCCTGAAATGAGCCTGTTTCTGGACTCCAGAGGGCCTCCGGAACCTGGGGGAGCCATTTTCACTCTCCCGGAGGCTCAAGGAAAGCCTCTGGAGCCCAGGAAGGGCAAACCCACCCACCCTGCCATGGTGCAGGAGGCCAACTAGGCCACGGCCACCATGGCCATGCCCACCCAGCAATCAGGCAGCGAATCCCTTGCTAAAATTTTCAAAGCCCACCCCTGATTTTATTGCATCTGAAATACCTTTTATTGACTTCTATTTATTTTATTTTTTCATTTCTTTATTGCCTTTATAAGATTAAGACTATAATCTCTGTGTTGCAAAAATCTGAGCATTCACTACATTGCCGCAAGAATTAAAGAAATAAAGGAACTCAAAGTCTACACTGCCATGTAGTGAACAAAATATTTTTTGCAGCCCAAATGCAATAACCCTTTTAAAACTTACACATGCATTTGCACACAAATAAAGCATCAACACAATACTTCTGCCAAGTTACAATCCTACTTGCAGGTAGGGAAGAGATGGGAGATTAGTAACATTACTGTTGTACAAATTATACTGAGGTCATATCAGAGACCTCTCTTAGTAGAGGAAAAATGGATTGAAATAAGACTAGCCTCTCAACAGGAGAAACAGTAGACTACAGTAGAGAGTGGGAGGAAGAGTGCCTCATAGCTAGAACCTTGGAGAGAAAGGAATTTGTGAATGGAAGGGGAAGTTGGTTGATACAAAATCTGCAGTCATTTAAATAAATGCTGTATAAATAGATGGCAGAACCTATTGGAACTGTTGATCAAACTGTATTCTACAGAACCCAAAGGCACCATGAGAACTTGAATGGGTTGTGTGAGAGACTAAGAGCAAAGCAAAAAAAAAAAAGTACACTTGAACAGAACCAAATTTTAAGCTCTAGAGCTTTGCCTCTTGATCAGGACTTCCAGGAATTTTTAATTTATTATTATTTTGTTTTTACTAATAAGTTTGAAAACTCTTGTTCTGGATCTAACATACCATGTTTCCCTGAACATACCATTGACCCTGAAATAAGCACTTGTGTTAGGAATATAATCTAACGGTTGGGTTGGCAATATATAAATCATGTAACAATGCTACCTGTTTCCTTAAATCATACTGTAAAATGTGATTGGTTGCTGTTTCCTCAATCGGCCATAAGAGGGAGCCAGCTCTCTGTTTGTTAGATGCTGGCTGTTAAAAAGTGCCATGAGCTATTGTTAACTTTTGCAACTGCTAGCAAACTTTGAGTATCAGACTGTTTGTATGATTATATTCCTAACACAAGTG